ATTAACCATGGTCGCAGTGCTCCAATCCATTGGGAGCTGTATATCCTGTTTATTCCTATTCCTATTGCTAGTAAAGTGGTGGTACAGCTCTGTCAAACTCTTTCATTTATTGAAAAGACTTAGCTCTTTTTTTCGTATGGAGAACAAAACGTGTTACATTATTATAGATGAGTTTTAAAAGTAGAATCATATCTTGTGGAACTCAAATACTTAGTAATATTTCCTATGACGCCTCTAGGTTGGAGGGTCGCAAGCTGTTAAAAATCTATATAAAAGAGTTTTATTATTATTTTCCACTATTATACTATCAGAATTATATAGTCCATACGTAGAAGTATGCCGGTTAGTACTGGGATCATTTTTATTATTTTTTAGTGTGATTGATGACGTTGTGATTTTTGCATTGGTTGACTGATTATACAAAAACTAGATATTTCTAGATATTTCTGAAGTTTGACTTTAAGTTTGGAACGTTTTTTAAAATAATAATTTATTCCACATTTTTTGTTACGATTATAAAATTTTTCACAACAGAGATGCACTATAAAGCCATTAGTTGTTTTAACAATCAAACCAGGGTAGTATCCGCATAAAATATTTAAGATACTATGTCAAAATATATATTTTGTTTTTGGAACTTAAGCGTCTGCAATACTTATTTGCAATGATGTAGGATTATTTCATCAAACCGAGAATTTGTCCAATATTAATTGTAATCAAGTTTCGGTGCATATGGACACATAAATCTTAAACCAAATTTTATGTTGATTTGTTTGGATCGTGAATTATATCATCACAATCGGGAGTAAAAATTTGATTATCTCTTTCCTACGCATTCCATTTAATTGTATTGTCGTATATTTTACGCTGCTAAAGCATTCTTGGATAACAGATTTGGGTCTATTGTCACGTTGGCAGTGCTTTATCAAAGGAGTGTGTAATTTTTTGTTGCGTAAATTTTATGCGTTGTCAAATACTTAACGTGAATATTATATAAATAAATGATACTATAATATACATATAAAAAAAATAGTTTATTATCAAAAATTCATATAAGATTTTTCATATTAATTTCTTTATGATTATCCTTTGTCCTGGCACTGAAGATGATGAGGATACAAATGGTTTAGCGGTTCATTAACTATTATTGGTGCTTGTAGAAATTTGTTGTTTTATATACAAAATAATTTTAATGGAAGTCCACTTATACACCCGGTTAGTCCATCCTCAACTAAATCATTCCACCGGAGACACGGTCTACCTGTACACCTTCTTCCTCCAACTACTGTTTTAAATACTATTTTTGCTTGAGCATCTTCATCCATTCTCACGACATGACGACCCAAGCGAAGCCGTTGGATGTTAATGCGTTAAATTACCTCAATGTCGTGATAAAACTCGTGTAGCTTGTGGTGCATTCGGTAGCGGTAGTCGTCGCTAAGTCATAGAGAACTAAAGATCTTAACAAAAACTTTTTTTTACCAAGTAAGCAGTGCGAAGTAAGCAATGCACAATATTATAGGTTTGGATTTTAAAGCACCAGGGAATGCATGTGCTTAAACTACATAGATTAGGCATACATAGATTAGTCCCTGGTTAAATGGTTAAATATTGTACTGTAAATTACTGTAATGTCATTTCTAATTAAACTTAGCTGATAGACCACCGCTTCTAGTACAACTATATTTGTTATAATACTCACGACTCGTAAACAGTTCTCAAGTACTTATGTGCCATTAATCACTAAACATTCTAGAAGAAAGCAACTTGAAGTTGTATAGAAGAAAAGAAAATATTTCTTTTAAAAGCTCTTTGAAACTTTAAGAAGAGTAATAGTATCTAAGCCTAATAGTTTGATTTCGTTATTAGCAATGTTTTGCTTAATCAATGCTTAAATGCTAGGGTTCTTCAAACGTTGTGTTTCGTGTTAAACTAATATTTTTATATAATATCCATTTAGAAAGCTTTCTCTTATATGTGTTTTAAAATTGAAGTGGTAGTAATAAATTATTCAAGCATAAGGTTTACTCATCCGGACATCACAAACCTTGTGTATTAAGGCATGCGCGTTTTTGGATTGTAGTACTCGTAAAGGTACACGCTACAAATACACGTGGATGTGTCTTACGTGTAGTCTGACAGATTGTTGAGGGGAAGAACAGAACAGAAACTTCTATCCCAATATAAGCTGAAAAATATAAAACTAAAATGTTGCTATTGTCGGCAGAGATTTTGTTTGTAAACAAATTTCATCTGTTATGCAAAAAGAAGTTGGAGTCTTACATACATGTGACCTCAAAATTTTATTTACTGTTCACGTTTAAACTTAATTTTTAATTATCCAATATTATAAATATTGCATTATATATTATAAAAATATATAATTTTATAACATATGCAATATTCACTAACACCATATATTAGTTTCTGAGTCGATCGTGCTTTATTTTCTTGACTTTTAATCATCTGATACTAAATCTGTAATAATATAGGGATTATGTGGAACTTAGAAAGATTAAAATATAAATTTAATGTTCCAATTGAATGATATTTAATTTAAATGTTCACTAGTACTCTCACTGATGTTATTAAAATCATTAGATGTTATTCAAACCTTAAGTGAAATTGAATATTTATTATAGTATAGATAATATCCTTTGTCCTGGCATAGGTTTTTTCTGATTATTTTCTGTTAATTAATATATTCTTCTTTTAACAAATAATAAAACATAAGTTAATACGTAAATGCAGGAATTTATTTGAATAGACGTCAAATTATTTTCCATCAATCAAGCGATGTTTGGTATATTTTACATTATATCCGTAAATGTATAGCACTGATCCTCATCTAACAAGTTAATATTTAGTTCATGATTTTTTGATATTTCCCCATTAGCACTTAAAATAGTAATATTATAAAATGTCAGCTAAAAGACCTTTAATTTTGTCTTTAATTTTACTAAATTATGAACTTTGTTTCTGAAATAAAAATGACTAGGATTTTTGAGGATAAACTTAAAAATTTTATTGTTGTGATCAACGAATCCATGGGGTTTTGAGAATTTGCACTTTCGACCAATTTGTAAACAATCGTTTTGCAGGCTTTGTACATATATTATAGGGACTTAAAATCTCTTGCACTATATAGATAATTAATTAATTTTTTTACTACAGACATAAACAATCAAAATTGTTTATATTTATGTACTAATATTAATTTAGTAAAGTGAAAAAAGTTGATTAGTAATTAATAAAAAAATGTTTTTTAAAACTGAGTATCTTTAATATTATAGGTTTGATTTTGATTCATTATGAAATTTTATTAAAAGACTCTAATTTTGCCTATACCATTATTTTTAATAGTATTTTTACTACATATTAAAATTAAGTTAAATAAAATTTCCATAATTAAATCACAGAAATGGGTCTTATTTCTAATTTGGGTTTAATATTAAATTTTATTTAAAAATAGAAATTTTGAAATAATATTTTTAAAGTAATTAAAAATATTAAATTTCACTAAATTTCAGTCAAATCAAATTAAAAAAAAAATTATTAAATATAATAATTTTTCATATTTAATTTGAATTTGTCAATAAATTTTAATTAAAATTTAATTTTAGCAGAATGGTATTATTTGTAAAAGTATTTTTAAAAGCAATAATTAATCGCTTACCTTGTATCATGTGAATGCGTAGGATATGTCCGTTGAATTAAATAATATGAATATACCACAGAATTATTTATTTTTTTATTATTCTAATTAATTAATTACAATTAAAAATATAAATATAATTAATTAATTCAATTATGCGTTATAAATCTATTAAAATAATTACAATTAAAAATATAAATATAATTAATTAATTCAATTATGCGTTATAATATAACACAGCAAGTGAAATTGTTAATGAACTTTCACAGCAAATTAACAAAACTTCAAGTTAGAACCTACAAATCAAGTACGGCAATGGATCAATTGGATAACGAACACTGACTCTGAGCTTCAAATTTGGCGGGGTACAAGTTCAACCCTTGGTACTTGCAGTCTAAAAAAATTAATTACTGATTAAATATAATTAATAATTAAATATTATAATTCGAAGACCACTGCTGATGGGTATTTGGCAATACTCAAATGAGCAGCAAAAAATTCAATTCATTGAAAATAAATAAAATTTTGTTGTTGTAGTTCAATTCTTTTCGAAATCTCTCTATTGAATTTATTACACAATTTTATTTAAAAATTTAAATTTTTATATTAACATTTTATATAAATATTTCAATATTCATATTTTATATAAATATTGTTATATTTAGAATTATTAAAATATAACATAGATATATGCTTTTTTTGACACTTTGCATCTTAGTTAATATTAAAAATGAACAAATTTCTATTGCTTCTCAGACCAAAGAATCTTCTCTCGGTGTCAAAGCACTTTTAAACGAAATAATCTGCTGGGTCAAAGATTTTGCATGAACGTGTGTGTTGATAGTTTCAGGGAAGCAAGAATCCAGTAGGAATAATCCATTATTATTTTTGAACTGATTTTCATATTTTGTTCAAATTAGATATTTTACATGCAAATATAAAATATTGCAATAGACTTTAAATACTCGTATAATAATTGATTTTTTCATTTTTTATAAATACATATAAAGAATTTTTTTTATAATTCAAATATATTTTTCCTTTATATATTGTGCATGTAATTTAATTCAGCAGATTATTCACTTATTATGCGAACTGTCAGGAAAATGCACTCAGCAGGACACAAGTTGAAAAATCCTTCCTTAACCAATTGTTCAATAAAGAAATGTATGGTTGTTTATATTACTTCACTGACAACTGTTTGGCTGGTTTCCAGTTGCATATCCTTGTCGTACAAATCCTTCTGACATTTGGGAAGCCTACAAGTCATAATTTCATAACTTTTGTTTACATTTGTTTATGGCGATTCAACTTTTAATTTTGTTAAATTTAATTCTACTTCTAGGATTTTTTATACTTAAATATTCGATTCGCGTTTACTAGTACATCCAAAATAACTGACCAAATGAGTCCAGAAGACGAAAACTACATTTTAAAAACGTAAACAGACGAGTACGAGGAGTACTAAGATTTCAACTTGTAATGGACTGGCTTTTGACAACACCACAAATACATAGCGTATTTTCATCGTTGGGCTCTTTCGAGGGCGATTCATACGTTGTTAATCCTAATGCACTGGGTAAGTCCATTAAAAAAAAAAAATTAATTTCTTTAATTAATTAAACACGTTTCTTTCTTTTTTTAATTTTAATGTTTTTATAAACAGCAATACTGGAGGAAATAAACTACAAACTGACTTACGAAGATCAAACGTTACGTACATATCGGCGGGCGATTGGGTTTGGCCAAAATGTACGTTCGGATCTTATACCGTTATTAGAGAATGCGAAAGATGAAGATGTATTAGATTCCGTTATTCGCATACTCGTCAATCTTACGGTGCCGGTTGAATGTCTGTTTTCAGTCGATGTTATGTATCGTACTGAAGTGGGCAGGCATACGATTTTCGAATTGAATAAGCTATTGTACACAAGTAAAGAAGCGTTTACAGATCCCAAGAGCACTAAATCGGTTGTTGAGTATATGAAGCACATATTGGAATCAGATTCGAAATTATCGTCACAAAAATGTGATAAGATCAATAATTGCTTGTTATTGTTACGTAACATTTTGCATATTCCGGAGACCCATGGCACCTTCATAATGTCACAGTCACAAGCAAATGGCACACATGTAGCTTCCATGCAAAATGCAATACTGTGGAATCTCTTCATTCAAAGCATAGACAAACTGTTGCTTTATTTGATGACATGTCCACAAAGAGCATTTTGGGGTGTGACCATGGTGCAACTAATTGCACTCATGTACAAAGATCAACATGTAAGTACTTTGCAGAAGTTACTTAATATGTGGTTTGAAGCTTCCTTGTCGGAAAGTTCGGAGGATAATGAAAGCAACACTTCTCCCCCAAAATGTGGTGATCTCAGTGGAGATTCCAGCCCTATGTTAACTTCTGATCCAACATCGGATTCTTCAGATAATGGTAAGTTACCAAGTAGCCAAATGTTTAAGAAGCGCAACAATATCAAATATGTTTATCTACCCACAGGAAGTGGAGGTCGTAAAATAGAAAGCTCAGAAGATCGCCGTCATGCATTGCATGAGGAAACTGAAGCAACATTGCAGGAAGTTAGTCGTAAAGGTCATGAATATCAAAATTCAATTCTTCGTACACCAACAGAAGGTGAAGAGAGTAAACCAAAAACGACCGATAAAATTGCAATTGTAGTAACTGAAAGCACAAATGATTGTGAGAAACCTTGTACATCTGCGCAAGCTGCTGCGGCAGCAGTTGCGGTCGACAAAAAAACAAATAACACAATTAAACAAACAACAACAATTAAAATAAAAAATGAGCCCATGGAAGGTACAAATGATGATGATGCAAATTTATCAGATGTGACTGTCATGGATACTATTAAAGAAGAAACAGAGCACGAATGTCACACAAAAGATTCAACTCAACCAGCTGAACATGTTAAAAACACTTCCAAAACTGAAAAGACAGATGAAGACAAAGCTATTTTTGTGCCACCACCACCTAAGCCATTTCGGTCTACTAATATACATAACGCTGCCCCTGCAACTAAAAATATAAATGTGGAAAAAGAAGACAAATTGGATAATTTATCTAAATCTTGTCAAAAGGTGCCACATTCGGGGCAGTTAAATTTGACAAAAGGAAAATGTTGTCCTCAAAAACGCGAGTGTCCGTCTTCGCAATCAGAGCTTTCAGATTGTGGCTATGGCACGCAGGTTGAAAATCAGGAATCTATTTCAACTTCCAGCAATGATGATGATGGCCCACAAAATAAGCCACAACATCAAAAGCCACCGTGCAACTCCAAACCCCGTAATAAACAACGCGCAGTCATGACCGTAGATGACAAAAAAGAATTACGACGGAAGAAACTGGTGAAACGTAGTAAAAGCAATCTGTAAGTATAAATGATCAAACAATGTTTGAAGTATAGTTAATCAATTAAAAATTATAAATAAATTCAGTATTAACATGAAGGGCTTAGTGCAGCATACACCTACCGATGAGGACATATCAAATCTGCTAAAGGAATTCACTGTTGATTTCCTCTTAAAAGGTTATGATTACTTAGTCGAAGAACTACATTCCCAGTTGTTGTCGAACATGGTTTGTATGACTAATTTTTTATTAGTTGCATTTAAAAAACAATCAGTTTTAACAATTATAGAAAATATCTATCGATACTTCGCACTTCTTTTGGTTGGTGACCTATTTTCTTAAGTTTGCTGCACAACTCGAACTTGACATGGAGCACATTAATTCAATTCTTACCTACGATGTTATAAGCTATCTAACCTATGAAGGTGTAACATTATGTGAACAACTTGAATTGAATTCCCGACAGGAAGGATGTGATGTCAAACCGTATCTCAGACGAATGCATTTGGTTGTTACTGCAATTCGCGAATTCTTACAAGCAATTGAAACTTACAAAAAAATAACGCATTTGAGTGAAGTAAGATTATAATCGTTTTTCATCTAATAAACATATATAATAATTTTATATTTTATATCTAGGAAGACCGTGAACATTTACGACGTTTACAAATACAAATCAGTAGTACTGAAGATCTACGTTGTTTATTTGTGTTGCTGCTGCGACGATTTAACCCTAGTTTACATACAAAACAATATCTGCAAGATTTGGTAGTGACGAATCATATCTTATTGCTAATATTGGATAGCGTAACGAAGTCAGATAACAATAGCTGCGTCAAAATGATCGACCATTTAGCACAGTAAGTTTTGATTTCAGTTATTTTTTTAGATTCAACTGAAATCGTTCAATTGAATTTGATATTATTTGAACAATGGGAACTTTATTTTTTTTTATACGACGCCTGGCTCCGAGACGTAGACCCTACGATCTTCCAATCATAGCATAAATTTTGAAGTTTTGTTATAAATTTTGAAATTAACGAAAAGAAATAAGAAAATAAATAAATTAATAATATTTCATATAGGTATGTATGTTTGTAACATAATATCTGAATTTATTATCTCCATAATATGTGCTCTATATAATCGCCCACAAATAGTACAGTACAGTTTATATCTGCTTTTACGCATGAAGCCAAAGTACGGAGGGTTTCTCCATAACACTCGCAGCGGGTTAATGTCGCAGGGGAAATTTAACCTCCTTTTCAGTAATTTTTGAATTATTTGGTTTCCATGATAAGCCTCGACAGTTTTGTTATGCATTTCGACCGTGCATAACTCTGACAATTTCTAGAAATAAAAACCCTGAAGGAGTTGACTTTTTGTTTGGAGACAGTGTCGTCCATATACTTATACTGACAACTACTTTTGAATTGTCTGTTGCGGACATTTAATCTCGTCACATGCATAACTATCAAGCAATGACCTGTAATTACAAACGTGAAAAGATTAATTCAACTCTTTAGTAAACCTTGGAGAATAATAGTTCTTTTGTGATAGATTCTTAGTGCTTTAATGAGTGACCATTTTGCTTTAGCTGGCAGATATTTTCATACAATTTTATGTGTATATAATCGCCGCAACAGTTTATACCCATTATTAGGCACGTAGACAAAAGAGATGGCGCAGGCTAAAGAGACTAAAAGACGAGAGATTTTTTTTCCAAAATGAATCAAATAACTATATATTCACATATGTTTATTAATGTATGTTAACATGAGTAAATCTTACACAATATTATAATCGATCCAGCATTTTATCTGGTAGCAACACCAAGTGGCAAGTACACTTCTTGCGACGGCCATGTCTGCTATATGTTGCTATATCGTACTTAATTGTTCAAATACTAGTTTTAGCTTAGAAAACTCTTGCAGAATATACACAGTATATTTAAAATAAACAGTATCAAACAAACTATTGATATTGAAAATTAAACGGATTGATTTAAATTTGCTTATGACTGGCATATTAGTAATCAACCAAGAAATAAATTGTTGTGGCCCCACTGAAGTGAAGAATTAGCCGAAGTAAACCACGAAACTACTTGGGTCCTTTTTCGTCCTCCTATTCTCGAACGTCGTTATTGAGTTAAAGCTGGAGTGGCTTCCGTTCGCATAACTACATCTCTTGTTAATGCAAGCAGCTCATTTAGCTTATAAATTGTTATAAGTAAAAACCTTTTAAAAAAAACTTTATCCACTGTTTTGGATATACCTAAAAACGTTAGAATATTAGCAAAAAACACACTATATACATATATGCATTTTTTAATGTAGATTCGCAACTTTAGAAGTGATGCACTACTACGGTATGCTCCTTGAAGATTTCAGTAATAATGGTGAATTTGTGAACGATTGTATTTTTACAATGATGCATCATATCGGTGGCGACTTGGGGCAGATTCGTACTTTATTCCAACCAGTAATACTAAAGACCTATTCACGTATTTGGGAAGCCGACTATGAATTATGCGATGTAAGGAAAAAGACATGTCTTTACAATAGTTTGATAAAAATAATTAACATTTTATTTTGTTATAATATTTTAGGATTGGTCCGATTTAATTGAATATGTAATATACAAGTTTATGAATACACCACAGAAGAGTGCATTAAGCTTACCAACAACATCATTAACAGAGCTTACTAAAGAACATAATCTAGAAACTACTGTTTGGTATGTACTTCGAAAATAATCTTTATTCAGATTATTGGATGATTTAATGCTATTAATGGTCTATGTGCTTTACATTTTCACATCACATATTGCTTTTATGTATATATAGCAAAATTTTAGATATATATGTACTATATGTTTATTGTGTTCTCATTATTTAAAATCAATACATTTTTAAGTTTTTCCATTTTCAGTTTTTCATCTCTTGTAGATTGAAGAATACAGATTATTTGCTTGGTAATTCTTACCAAATTGGCAACAAAATTCTAACAATTTATTAAATAAATTGAATACGTACGTACAAGTGTATAAGTATATTCAAACCAATAAATCTAAAATATTAACGTTCAAATTAAAAATAAATTCAAAATCAAAGCAAATTTCTGTAAAGTTGTGATTTTGACATCATTGCAGAAAGGACTCATCTACTTATCCATGCAATTTATTGACATCGCAAAATTATTCGCCATTTGTGTTGTATATGTTGAATACTCACTGTGTTTGCAATGAGGAAAATGATACTGTATTGCTAGTCATATCCCCTCTCATTATACTCTGTAAAACCGGTGCTTCACCTAAAAATTCAGGAGGCTTTAACTTGCACTAATATAATTTATGGTCCTAGTTTTTGTTCCTTTTTGCTGTGTTTTAGTTGTTCTTTTTGAAAAAAACTAACTTAAGTTTTTATGTAAAAAGTTTTGCAATTCATATTTTTTCAACTAATTAAATTAACTAATTTTATTAATTTAATTCATAAATTTTTGATATACTGGTTTTAAAATTAATACTTAAACATTTCATTGGTTCTGTTGTCTTCAACAGTTGCTAGATTGTTATTAACTTTTCTTTTTATATTTTCTAAATTTTAAACACTACTGCAGTTCTTGGACTCAAGAAGAAAAGGACACCTTATATTGGTACTATGTGCAGAGTAAAAAGAATAACGATATCGTTGGCAAAATCGTGAAATTATTCAGTAATAATGGCAATAAACAAAAATCACGGATTTCCATAATACAACAATTATTGCAACAAGTAAGTTCTAAAGGACTTTATTTTAATTTTTTTGATTAATTATTCCTATAAATAATTCGTTTCATTTTATAGGACATTATTACTTTGGTTGAGTATGACGATTTGATGAAATTTGAAGATGCCGAATATCAACGCAACTTATTAACTACAAACACTTCCAGCACGACTGAGTCCGGCATAGACATTAAGGATGCAATGCCTTCAGATGATATACAAGTTAGTCGACTATTTATTGCAAATCAAAAATGACTATGATTGTCACTATACCTAACAGAGCTTTAATTACATATATCAATTTTAATGTGAAAGGAAACCTAAACCTAATCGCTGTTTATTGTTCCACACTAAGTCAGAATCAGGAAATTGTTTAACCTGTTTAATTCTCTACTGCTGAGAAAACAATACATCAGAATCAGGGATTTGTTTAACCAGTTTAATCCTCTACTGCTGAGAAAACAAAAAAGCAGGCGGTTATAGAGAGACATTAAAGGGGGTTTTTGAAAAATCACATCAAAGTTTAAGTGAGAAAATATCCATTCTCTTTAATGAAAAACTTTGAAAGACGTTATATATATGTATATGTAGGTCACACATTTCTATTTTATATATTATATTGTTTAAATTATATTATTTATATTTTATATTATATATTATATATATTATTTATATATATATATATATGTACTCACAAATGTCGGTTTAAATTCGGTCATGAGAGCCGAGACTGTCTGTACCTTGCCACTCAATCAAAGTAGTGTTATATGTATACATGGTATTTCCTTTAAAATTTGGGCACAATAAAAAGGTACAAAAGTATTAATAAAAATACTGATGTGATTGTCAAACTGATTGATTGCCACCCGAAATAACCAATTTTGACGTGTCCGTAGCAGTTCACACAACATAGGAGTTGTACGGTTCAGGCAAACTATTTTACATCAGATTTTGTTTTTTTTTTAATTTAATTTAGTACAGTCTCTATGGTATGAATGACAATAAGTGATATTTATAATTATAAATCGTAATTATAATTATTACGATCTAAAAAAAAAAAAAGAAAGGTACGTTTGGACTCTGCCCAGTGATATATCCATACAATATAAAATATAAAAAATATAATTTATATATATATAATTAATTAAATAAATGTATAAATAAATAAATCATTTGCATTGAAAACAACAACAATTTTGACGTGCCCGTGGCACTCTACATAAAATGGGCCTAATAATGAACGGATAATATACATTGTTAGAGTTATTACATAAAGTTATTATATTTTTAATCAACACTTAAACTTATAAATTTGTATTTTTTAATTATTATATTTGTTTTGATACTAAAACATACTTTTAAACGTAAATTAACGAAAACTTAAATTTCAAACGAAATCCCTTTATATGTTATTTAATACGAGTACTTATAATTAGTACTTTATTATGGTTCTCTAGCTAGTTTAGCAGACACCTAGCAAATAAAATAAGTATATATACGTGTTCGTTAGCTAAATTGTCTTTAAACATTTCGTAGAGTAGAATACGTATATTTTTATTTAAACTCTTAAATTTCTCTTGTTAGTACCACAGAAATAGCGATCCTGTCTTTAAAGTTGATTTGAAGAATCCTTCCTTTTAACAATGTATGTGGATGAAATTTGAAATTATTTCCTAATATTTGATATTCGCTGAGTTTATTTAGAACTAAAATTAAGCTTGTTATACATTAATATAAACTTGTATTTTTTAGATACTTCGGGATCTTATAATAAAGGAAAATAAGGGCAAACATTTAATTTGGCTGCAGAAATTATTACTAGAGTGTTGTCATGTCAAATTAATTCTTAAGAATAAAGTACGCCGGGAAAATAATAAAAATTTAAATTTAAATCATACCATGGAACCAGTATCATATCATTGTATATGTAAGTATCATATTCCATTTAAATACCTGTATATATATGCTCTTTACAATATAACCTCATAAATATATTTTATTTTATTTCAAATAATAATTTTGTTCTTAAATGGGCTTTAAAATTAAAATTAAAAATTATATTATTTAAAACTAAAAAATTAATTAACGAAAATTAAAAATTTTTGGTCATTAAAATAATAAATTATTATATTTTAAAGTGATACATACTTATATTTTATAGGTAAAAATTTTTAAAATATTATATATAATTTTCAGTGAAAAATAAATCGATTCCAGTCGTGCAATGGAATAATGATCAAGCTATAATGATGCTTTATCAACCTTTTGTATTGCTGTTACATAAGTTAGGATTTCAATTACCAGCTGATGCTGGTTCAGTATTTGCACGCATACCGGACTATTGGACAGCAGATATGATGTATAGTTTAGCGAAAAAGTTGGGACCTTTAGATAAATGTAAGTTGATAATTGAAAATAATTCATCATAGAAAATGGGGCATCTATTAACGTCCTAAAATATAACTTCTCGTCATATAGTGGTCATCAAATTCGACGTTAATCAATTAGAAGAAAAAATAAATTTAGAAGCTAGTACATCACGTTGCTATAATACAAGTAGTTCGCGTCCGTCTCTGAGTTCTTTGTCGAGCTTAGATATAGAAATTTCTGATACAGATCATATTCCAGTTGAAAGTAGTGATGATATTAATGAAGTTGCTATTTTACCACCATTATTGGCGTTGGATATGAGGTTTGAGAAAGCGCATACAAATGAAATTTTCGCAGTCGGAAAAGATAAACACTGTAATTCAATTATAAGGTAAATATATACCACCTAAAACTAAATATTTTGTGATTGATAGTGAGAAAATTATATTTTGTGTGTTAAGAGTTTTAGTTTATGTTGTATATATCGGTATGAATATTGTGCTAGTTGACGTGGTTTTAAATACTATTTTTTTTTGGGTAATCCTCTCACTGCTCTAATACGAACTAAGTTTTTTTATTAGGGGGCATGGATTTAGTATGTAGTGAAAATGTTATAGTAAGAGATAATCAAAGGAAAAATTTCAAAAACATTTATGTCAGATAGTTAGATAGATAGATTTTGAAAGGGTTGGGAACTATGTCACCATGTGATTGTGTCCTTTGAGGATTATTGTGACACACCTACTTCAGTTCCATAGTTCCGTATTTCCTCTTTTGGTTTAACCCCATAGACTTCCGCCATCACTCCTTCCATCGTTTTGGAGCCATCCGTGTACCACAGATGGTTATCTCCAACGAATGGAGGTATGTTCCGTTCCCAGTCATTTCTATCTGGTATTGGTACACAGAAGTCCTAGTAAAAGTTAAAAATATCTATGTTACTTTAAGATATAAAAGAATATTCCATTTTTTGAGAATATAGAAAATTATATTATATTAATCGCTCGCTCTTGTGTACTAAAATAGACCATTGATTCAGAGATCATTCTTTTATTCGAGCCAAATATTTTTACCTGTAGCCCCTTTAAATTAAGAAATAAATAGTACTTGCTGTGGATTATATTTAAGGAAGAAGCTGTGTGGAAGAACAATTTGGTGATAACTTGTATTAATTTGGTTATTACTGAAAGAGTGCTTTATGTATATATATTTTATATATATATTTTCTATACGTATTTTAGTAAATTTGCTTTTGCCTTCATCAGGAGAATTTCTAATATCTCTGTTTTTGTTTATCGCAAACGAAAAACTTGATTTTTTCATAAAGAAAAAATCATAAATACCATAAATATCATAAATAGGTATTATTTATGAAGTTGATTATCTCTTGAACTTTATCTAATTATTATTCACGATAATTTTAGATTTAATGTAATGGTTTCGGGCCACCTGAACGTTTAGCTTAATCAGTGTTTGTTCGTTAGTCTTAAAATTCTCAGTATATCAAAACTTTTAACAGGTAGTCTTTGTAGAATTTATAAAGCCATTGTTTTGCTTTATTGGTATTTTTTCATGGGGAAAGCAATGTTTGAATGCGAACTTTACAAAAAGCTTATCAGTTGCTGGTACGTCCACTTTCCAAATATTTCACAAACGTAAAGTTAAAGTATGTATTTGAATATAGCATAACAACATTATAAGTACTTTAGCTGCAATAGACTTCACATATTTAACAAGTTTATTTATCTAATAATCCATCCTCGGGTTTAAGACATTTATGTTAATGTTAAGACAACATTAAGGAACTAATAAAACAGAAAGTGATTTTATAATATATCGATTGTAAGATTATTAAGTTTAAAAGAGATACAAAAGAGTTTTAAACAAATTTATAAATATATATATATATCTATTATACGTTATTATATTTTTATTTAGATTTACACCAGATCCATCCTCAACGCCGTCTGTACCGAATTGGTTGCAATTGGTTATGCGAAGCAAATGCAATCCACCACCTATGGTTGCAGCGGTCCCAACTCTATTAACAGTTCCGCCAAATGAAAGGTAAATATATAATTTCAGAAAAAAATATATATATGCCATAAAAACACTATGTTTATTTATATTAATATTTTGATTTAATTTTTACGTCAATAAGACAGTTGTGACTATTTTTACTTACATTTATAGTAGTAAACTACAAGAACAAAAATTATAACTATATTTTTTTCAATCAATTGAATTTTTGGCTATCCATACAGTTTTTTTGAGTATTGTCAAATACACATCATCAGTGGTCTTGGAAATAATTCTTGTGTTTAATTATCCGTAAATAATTTTAAGACTACTGATGATGAGTATTTGGCAATACTCATAATAGCTTTATGATGAGTCAAAAATTCAATTAATTGAAAAAATTATAATAAAAATTTTTGTTGTTGTAGTTTATTACTGTTCAAAACCTCTCTATTTATATTAATTTAGTAAGTAATATGCAGTAAAATAGGAACAATAAGTGAAGATATCTGCTTTTCAATTTGAATAAATGAAAATTTTAATATATTTTTATAGATAAATAATAAGAAATATATTCTGATTAAATTATGACTACTTAGGCTTACATTTCGTTGCCGATCAAATGGTTGTCGATCATCATATTTGATCATTTCTTCCAATTCTTTTAATTTTTTTTTGAAATTTGAATTAAAATTCAAAACAACAAGAAAAAATAAGAAGATCGACGGTTATTTGATCGTCTGCATAATATAGCCCTACATAGTTGGGGTCATTAAATCTGATATATACATAGTCTCATATAACGACACTAGAAATGTTTAAAAATAATTCTTTTGATTCGTTTCATAACATTATAATGAACAATTAAAATGCGATAACTTATGAAGTCAATTTTTGTTATTAAAAAAAATGAAATTACGGCCAAAGCAAATAAATACTTTATGTCTGTGGTCTCCCAACATATGAGTCGCTACTATGTATTCTGTTAATGCCCGGGGTCATTAAAATAACCCTTGCAAATATTTGAAAAATAAAAAAGGTGCAAAGTTTTGCAATTCGATTTTGTTAAGTAGCTGGAAACATTGTTGGACTTAAAAGCAAGTATGTGTCCACAACATATTTTCGTTATTTTAGGCTCCTAAAATATACCTCATAAATCAATTCTAGGTGTGTCGTTTGATTTTACTTAGTGATTTAGTTGCTGTTAAAAATTTTATTATGTATCATCAATAATAATTCGTGTAAATTAGTTTATATTTTCTTGCAATCTGTTGGTGTATATGGAAGCATATGTTTTATGTTCTCAATTAATTAAAATAAGAAAGAAACAAACAAATTATGAAACTAGCAGATATTTTTAAACAGACTATTTTAAAATTTGAGTTGTCATATACTAGCTAATAGTAACTAAGATTAATAAATGGTATTTTGATTACCTATGGTAATATATACTAGCTCTACCTTCCCGCTCCTAAGAAGGAGTATTTGCTAATGTGAAGAAAGGGTCATGAGATAGTAGAGAGCTTGGCTGAGATGAACCATTGGTGTCGGTATGTTTACGTTGCAGTTATTGAATTGTTAAAAAAATCTTTTTTTTAATCTTATTAATTTATTGACACTCATATCTGTTATTTTAATCGATACTCGTAAATCAAAATAGAAGTTATACGATATTATGATATTTTTTTTTATCAATTTGATCAAAATTTTTGTACATATTGAACTCTATTTGAAATGCGTTAGTACAAAACTTATAATTGAACTGCCCAGATACTATATTTTATGATAGAAGTTGTTAACCTTTAAATACTATTAACTGTAAAAGAATTCAAGACCAGGTGTAACAGTAAGTAAAAATCTATATTAATTGAATTTCAATTCACTACAAATGTTATTAGCTTATATATACTAAAATAACAAACATATTTTGTGGAATTAAAATGCGATTATGTAGCATATTTGTGCTTACAATATAACATCCTGATACTATCAAAATTGTTTTTATGGTTGTTTAAAATCTAAGGACCCACTAATTATTACAGCCACTGATTTATGTTAGTTATTTCATAAGTATTCACATTTTAATTAGTACGAGTGAGTTTCTGATATACGGTCATTCGGTTGTCTAAATTTTCGTATGATCTCTCTAATCACCTATTATATAATATTTATTTAATTAAAAGTTGTTATAAAAAAAGTATTTGTTTTTAACAGAAAATATGATATTTAACCGTCTTGATAAAATCTCAAGTGCTCCTAGTCTTGCTTTACCTAGCCTAATTTTTTTTTATATATTTGAACATCGGTAAAATTAAAAATTTTTGAAATGTATATCTATTATATAAATTAAATAAAATAATTTTGAATATGAATACAATAATATTATAATTATATCATTTCAAATTTAAAAATGAATATTCGCAGTCTCATCCACAGAGCTCAAGTCTCAAATTTAATTTGGTCGTTATTTTTTTTAATTCTTCTATTATATTGAAGCTACTCGTATTTGAGCCAGGCACTTGAGCAGTTTTACTCTTTCTTAACTCGAGGTATTTTTAAAACCCCTCTTTAAGCCTTAACTGGATTATTCACATTATCACTTCATCTGATTAAGCAATAATTGATCTCAGACCTCCCCAAGAAGCCTGTAACCATTCTTCTGGTGACTTCATTTTGTAATTTGCTCATTTTGTAGTAATGCTTAGTACTCTGACATTATGTAAAATATTAAGTCAGAAATATCAAGTCGATTGAACCAATCTCAACGGACTTGGAACGCACTACATATAAAAAATGAAGTCGGTTATCATTAGATAAAGACATAATGTTCTCTACAGTTTGAAAGTTGAGCTATTTGAAGTTAGTTCCAGTTTAATTGAGTCACCTTGTTATGATTTATTTTGTCATTTTTTTCAATTGCTGTATTCGTAGTTTAGATATTTTGTTATTGTATTGCTTAGTCTATTTTTGTATAAGGAGAAAATGTAATAAATAGATACGCATATAGATATCTATGGATGACAACGACTTCGTCATTAAAAAAAATTGTTTGGAAATATTTATGCACAATCTAGCTGACTGTGAGCGAGTAGAGTCCAGTAATAACAATTGATAAAACGTGGATCCATAGATTCACACCTGAGGGAAAACAACAAGCCCGAGAGTAGAGTTCGTAGAGTTCGGAGGTACTGCTTCCAAACGACCACGAATTCAGCAATCGGCTGGAAAAGTTTTTTCTTCCGTATTTTGAGATTCAAGTGGAAAAAGGAAAAACAATAACATTAGAATATTATTGCATATTATTGGATCGATTGAATGAGGGAATCAAGAAAAAACGATCACATCTGTTGAAGAAAAAAACCCAAAATCCGTTATCACGTCAATGAAAACAATGAAAAGCAAAAATAAATGAATTACGTTACGAATTGCTTTCTCACCTAACGTATTCTTCAGATTTGGCACCCAGTGACTATTACCTGTTTTCAAACTAGAAAAGATGACTACAGGGAAAGAGATTTGGATCATATGATGAGGTGGAATGGAAAACTGAAGTAATATTTAAAACGTATCCAAATATTAAAAGATCGTTGGAATTGGTGTATCGAGCTAAAATGATACTATATTAAAACAAATATTTAATAGTACTCGTATTTAAATTTCACAATTAAAAATATAAATATTTAATTCAATTATTCTACAGCTGGTTTGTGATTTCATTCTAATATAAACACAGCAAGTGAAGTTGTTAATAAAACTTTCACAGCAAATTAACAAAACTCAACTACAGAAAAATGTGCGAACATAAAAGTCAAGTACGGCTTTGAGTCAGTTGGTTAAGGAGCGCTGACTCTGAGCTTCAAATTTGGCAGGACACGTATTCGATTCCTGGTACTTGCAGTCTCAAAAATTTACTTACACAAGATATAATTCCAAGATCACTTATGATGGATATTTGGCAATACTTGGAAAATAATATAAAATGAATTTTTGTTGTTGTAGTTCACTACTGCTCGCGAAACCTTTATATTAAAGCATGAAATATAATTTTCCAAAAGAAAAACGTTTTTAGTAATACTTAAAATGTAAAACATATTTACTGTGCTTAGTAAAAATAATTTCAGAACTTATTTAGGTATTTATATTGTATACAAATATGTATAAATCTACCTAAACTCATGTTCAAACTGACTTCAAAAATATTTTCAAGATAAGAGGAAAAAATATTTCGAAAAAAAACTGTATTTTTTGTTCTCAAACTTGGGCTTTTGTGTGAATTAAAGAAAACTTTTGCAATAATTTGGTGAATAATTAATTAAATTAATTTACAATTTGTTTATTTTCAAGTACAATTAACAGTAATTAATTTTAGCATAATTAAGCAATTTTTTTTAAATTAAAATTTAGCAAGTAGCAATTCAATATTTTTACACAATTGAGCTGGTGTTTAATTTTAGCAGTTCTACTATTATATATGTATTTTTTTTTGTTGCTTTTGATTAAAGATATTTTTGCACAATTAATTAAGATACTCAACTCATTATTTATACCGCCACGGGTTGTGTATGGAAGCAACAAACTACGAGCTTTGATAAAATATCCGATTGGTCAAACTAATTAATGCCGCTAATTTAATGCCGCTAATTTAATGCTTCACTAACTCTTGCAGCATGTGAGTTCGGTGTCCCTAATAGACTCATATTAAACCCTACTTTATCTGTATCTCTGAGCAGAAATTGCACTGTGCATTCAAATAAGCTATCAATGTTTTTAATTAGCATTGGATTGTTGTGTGTACATATATGTGCATGGAATATAATAGATTATATTATATTATTTATAAGAAACTACAAAAAGATTAAAGTTTCTTGTCCGCAGAATTAAGTCAGGTTGATTTTACTTTCATTTTCAGATTTAGTTTCAGTTTTGGACTCGGTTTCGGTTTCTGTTTCTGTTTCTGTTTCGGTTAAGGTTTCTTGGTCATTTCATTTTATTTTGTCAAATATTTGCTTTTATATTTTTGCACATATTAGCATAATTTTATGAAATGT